TTCATAGCGTTGAGATTGCATTTTTATTTATGTCTTTCAAACGTTTGAGGCTAGAACGCGAGCAAATCAGGCAGATATTACTGGACTTGGAGCGATTGACCTCTGACACGAGTTTCAAATTAGAAAATATGTTTTTAAAGCGAGCGGAACGAGATTTTCGGGTCGCGAGGCGGCCCAGCTAGCGATAAAATCGCGATGAGTCTTCGAACCGCGAGCCAAATTTTTATATAAGACGAAAGACTTCTTCGAAAGTCTAAAATATTACTTGAGAATATAAACAACAAATCTCTGTCGGCGGTGCGGTCCGGAAGGAAATCTTGTCGAGTCAATTTGACAGTTCTATTGTCTTTTGAAGAAAAAACAGATGACGCTCGCGCGTGCGCATAATCGGGACACTGTCCCTTTAACATGGTCTCTTTTAGGGGTCAAAAAAAGTTTGGGCCACGCCCAGATCGGTCTCCTTTAGGGGTTTAATTCAAAATTTCCGTCGAGCATCCCCACCCCTTTCATATGCGGAGTCCCCCCCTCCCCGGCCCCGGATTATACAATGTAAACAGTGTTGCCAATCGGAATGGCTCTATTCCAGTAAAACCGTCGTAAATCTGTAAAATGTAGCTTCCAGGTCCCGGTTGTTCAAACGTTGGATAGCGCTATCCATCGGATAAATCACTAACCAGCGGATAAGTATTAGGAAAACCGATTGCACTATCCACTGGATAGATATTTATCCACCGGATAGAGCGATCGAACGTGTGAACAACCGGGGCCAGGTGATGAATACTTTTGTTAACAACAAATAAGTGCTTGTCTTGTTAGCTTCAATGATATCACACACAGTAACTAAAGCAGATTGACTTTCTTGAAGCTGGAAAGATACCTAGATCGGTCCGAACACAACAAAATAATGACTACTTACAGGGGTGTAAACCATCCTTCGAACTAACAAAAATACCATAGTTGTGGTGGTCTCGGTGTCTATTGCTGTGGTGATCATAGCCAAAAAATCATGTTCAGTATGTTGGGACCAGCCCTTAATAACACGCAAGCAAGTGTTATTTCTGTGTGTGTTATTCTTTTACAAGTGAGACTTTATGTACGTCTCGCCGTTTCGAGTGGCGAAAGTGTTTACGAGCCGCACTTAAATTAAAGAGAACACGCGAGAGAGCCACAAAAGCGTCTTCTTATTAAAAGTCGTCTCCTTTCGCAAGCCACTCGCGCCATGGTTCGCACAATCTTGAAAAGGTCTTAAATTTTAGTAGTTGTCTTGAAAAGTCTTTGAATTCGAATAAGGCCCTTGAAAAGTACTTTATTTCTTTATTAGGTCTTGAAAAGTCTTTGAAATTCACTACCTTGTCTAATTTTTTTTTTTGTATGAGCAATATCTTACTTCTGTTTCTTTATTTTAATGTGTACCTCAGATGCAATTGCAAGTCTTACCCAATCATTTTGCAAAGTGTTATTGCAGAAGGTAGTATGAAATAATGCGACTCAACCGTTTTATGATGGCTGAAGAAGTAAAAATCGTGAATGACTCCATGACGTATTTTAGCCAATTAAGTGTTCAAGAGGGCGTTAAACAACTTTTAAAAATAATTCTTAGTCCTTGAAAACCCTAATTTGTCCTTGAAAAATCCTGGAAAGTCCTGGAAAATTGCTTGTCTGACGTTGTACGAACCATGGGCGCATAACTTCTCACGATATGCCCCAAATGGAGTGCTTACTTGCGGGATAGCGAGGAAGTACAGCTTTAAACTTAAAAGAATGTGAAGACGTCATGGCTCGCTCATTATTGGGCTACTTGTGGTAAATCCCCATCTAGTTTTCGGTGGCAAGTCATCCCCGACCAAAAAAGACAATGGTGAACGCATATCCCGAAGGAGTTGCTTGTCCCGTCACTGATTTTTACTACTATAAGACTTAATTTAAAATGAGTAAGATTGACAGCCTTTAAGTCTAGTCAGAATAGAAGGAGCTGTAACGAGCTTTTGGTAGAGAGATTTAAGTTGATTGGTGTCTGTTGTATTGTGCGTGTAAAAGCAAAGGTAAAGAGAAATACAGATCGAGAGCTGATGCTAGCGTAGCCAACCGGAGCTGGAAAGTGTGATTATCATAACACTACTTTCCAAAATATTTAACCACTGCATCGCACATCCGGCAGCCTTACGCACCGAAGTCTTGTGTCCCAGTGATTCCACTGCTTCTCATGTCAAAACTCCAGACAAGGAATTACAGCCATCAGGAAAGGCTTACTGAGGGTGCCATATTATCAGGAGCTATAACTGACCGGGGTAGCACACCACGATTATGGCTCCTGGGCCCAGTTGTTTGAAACGCAGATAACGCTACCCACTGGATAAATCTCTATCCAGTGGATAACAAAATTGGTTTCCCTAATACTTATCCGCTGGATATTGATTTATCCGTTGGATAGCGCAATCCACCGCTTGAACAACTGGGGCCAGATATTATGCATGGCCGAAGGGTCTCCTCCTTGGAGATCACAGGACACGTTATCACGAGATTGTTTCCCGGTTGTTTCCCGTACGTTTGTTGTAGGCCGTATTAAGAAGTTTGGAAGAAAGCTTCCTTGTTTGTTGTTGTTGTTGTTGTTGTTTTTGCTTGTTTTTCATTGTTGTTGTTGTTGTTGTTGTTTTTTTTGCTCGATTATAAATCCGAGAGAGAAAGAGAGAGGACGTCAAGTTAACTTTTTGCTCCCGTAAAAAAAAAACATCTACAGCTTTTGAGCTACACTGATTTAGTTGAGCGTGTCAATTTTAGCTGTATGGAAAACTGAGTTCCGTTTATTGATAAATTACAAAACTACGAAGATAAAAAGTCCACTTTCTTCCACTAAACGTAACTCGTTTCAACTTTTAGTTTACTTTATTTTCCATAGTTTGCGTATTGAGGCAGCTACAGAATTAAAGGCAAATGAAAAGCAGCCATCCAAGAAATCATAATGTGTAGATGCAATATTATAATATTATCCTTACTTCATATTTCATTTCTTTGTCTACCAACACACCGTGAACTGCTCTGTTACAAACCCCCCACTTTTAAGCTTCCTCAGTTATAGGCCCAGCTACCTGCAAACAATGCAATTCCATCCAATTATAACCCCCCTCTGTCTGCATTGAAATGAATTCGATTAATTAGGACATTTTGACCTAATTTAACCTGTTCCAGGCGTTCAAATAGTCATTTAACTCACTCCCCACCGTCTGACCGCCTTGCTCTACTGGAAACGGCTAGAATTAATTAAAACCAGTGAACTGCAAAACCTAATTTGATCCGCCCTGCTATAAGTTGTTCCAAGCAGCTTTTTCTATTCTGGTTATAAGCTAAGCCCACTGGGATATAAGCCCCTCTAAAAACCTCTTGCGAAGATGTATAAGCTCAGGGTTAATAAGCGAAAGTTTACGGTAGACATCACTAATGCCAATGTACTCTGATTGGCACTGACGTGGTTTTGAAAAAGATAATACAATGAAGAAAGACATAACTCGGTTTTTATCGCTCCTCAGACAAACCTGTACTTTTTGGTTTTCTGTCTCCTTATGTCAGTGGTTACTTGAGTAATCTTAATTCCCTTGGGAATCAGCCATGGAAACGCCCTTCGTCTATCACCTCAATTAACGATATGACAAAAAGAGTCGACTGAAACACTTCTACATTTAAACTTCTTTATTTGTCTTTTATCCCTTTAAATGTAATTTACTTGCCTTTTTTCCCTCGTTATCTTTCGTGTGTTACAACCCTAGAAGAAGATGATTATCATAATTAACTACTCGGCTTGTTTAGTTTTTGCTATTCTGAGTAGTGTTTTTGCTTGATCTATCTAGTTAACTTATTCTGTTCTTGTAAACTTTCTTAACATGGCAAATAAAATGGTTGTTGTTCCTATTGTTAGCTCCCTTTTACAAATACTTAGCAATAGTTATCAGGGCTATAACAACGACTAAACTATGTTTAGGCGGTTTTTTTTTTTTTTGGTTATTGCGAGGTNTCTTTAAAATACCACCCACTTCCATTTGCTTGATAAATAGTTAATTTTTCATCAATTTGTATCATACTTTTTTTTAATATATCTTTTACATCAGTTGATATAAAATTATTAAAAGTACTAGAATTAAAATATGCTTTATCTTGAACTTTAAAAGTTAAACTACTATCTTTTTCCCTTTCCTTTTTTTCCATAATACAAACTAAAATAAACCTTACTTTAGTATTACGATGATTTCTAAGAAATTTTTTAATAATATGTTTTTTATTTATAAAGAACTGATAAGGTAAAATATCTGGTTTCCCCTTGATAATATATTTTTTAGCAAATTCGTTTAGAGCTGATTTTTCAATTTCAATTCCTTGTTCATGCTCATTTATAGCTCTCTCAAGAGCTTTTCGTAAATAAGAAGGAGTATCTTTAGGAATTTTTTTATTTTTTATACATTCCTCAAAATAATCTTCAAATGATTTTATCCTTTCAGAATGAGGTTTTTTATCAACTTTGGGTTTTTTATCAACTTTGGGTTTTGTATTAACTTTTCCTTGTTTAACTTTTTCTCTAAACTCTGTTAATTTTCTATATTTTTCAATCAATCTTCTCTTTTTTTGTAATTCCTTATAATCTTTCCTAAGATTTTTTTTTTCTTGTGATACAATATTTTTTAATTCGTCCAAAAACAAACTCTGAAGTTGTTTTTCGGTAAAAATTTGTTGAGACATAAATTACTTTATTATTATTTTTTTTGTTTTATTTTTTTATTTAATTTTTTTTTTTTTTGTTATTTTTTTTGACTTGGTATTTTATATGTTTGTTTTTCCTTTTTTTATTTCTCTTTTTTAAATTCTTAGCAATATTTTTTAGGTCTTTAAAAACGACTAAACTATTTTTAGGCGGTTTTTTTTTTTTTTGGTTACTGCGAGGTCTACTGGACTCAACCAGCAATGGCAGAAACATTCTTATTTTCATTTAATTAATCGAACCTGACGGTTATTCCAGCTATACGAGAATTTTTTCTAGTTCTGTTTGACTATTAAGAATTCGCTTCAATCGATTTGCCATTTGTTCAATTACCGCGGGATTGATGCCTTCCAGAAGGTCCACGCCTGGTAGCCAGAAGTGTGGAAGATTTCTCCTCTCCAGGTGAGTCTGCAGTTCCCTAAGAAATGAAAGAAACTTCTCGCCTAGGGAGTTCTGAGCATTCCAGCCATACGAATCTCTCATGTAACGCATGAAGGCGTTCTTCAAGTGATATGACTGAAGGGCTGCGAGAGACGTCCTCTCCCTCTTGACGATGGTCTTCACGATTCTAAGAAGTTCGTGCCTGCAACCACCGTCAGTATCCATATGCTGCAACTTTCCCTTTTCTTTCAGAGAAAACGACTGTCTCCAAAGGAGTTCAGGCTGAGAGGTATGCGTCACCCCTGTGTAAGGTTTGGCTACGAAGTACTCTTCAGCCCCGATGTGGAAGCAAGGAACGAGATCAACCGATAGAAGCATCTCATTGGTTGTCTTTCTAGTGATGTCAATCTGGGTGGCAGGCCCATGGTAACGCACCTCCAAACGGAAGTCTGAACATGACGAACGGTGGAACGCATTCACTGCTTGAACAACGAGACTATGAAACCAGCCATTTCGAAGTCTTTCAGGAATTATGTACCCCTCAGCACTTGAATACCTACGAAGAATCGAACTTTCTTGGGCCTCTAGTCTTGCATATCCTGGTATTCCTCTGCAAGCTTCAACGGTGACTTCTTGCCTGGTTATTTTAAGCACAACCATAACATCCACTTCATCTGCCTTCTCTGTTTTCAGCCCCTCATACACGCTACCAGTGTACTCTCGTCTCAAGATTGGTATCAAAGAGTTACGTTCACAGTAGCTCATGATTTGTTTTTCAATGACTTCCTGCACCAGACTTCTGGAGCGAGCCATGTCTTCATTGGTGATCTTAACATACTTCACAGAAAAATCGCGGAGTTTCTTGGTTAGTGGGTCCCCTCGCCTAGCTTGCGCCGAAGCCGACATTATCTATAATGTGAAGAAATTTACTTTATGTTGGTGTTTTACACACAAGTCTACCACTATTCACCTCCATTTCGGTGAATAATTCTTAATTATTGCCTCTTACAGTAAGAAGCAGTTCTATTTATTTTAACAATATTCCACTTCTATAGATATGAATAAGCTAAGCTGCGTTTCTGGTAGGCTCGATTACCGCCGCTCTCTTTTAGCTCGGTCCTCCTCTGTTCGGACCTGTTCGGGGGAGAAGCGCGGGCTCATTTCCCGAACAGCAGCTGGTAATCCAGCCTACGTTTCTGGCTGAAAAAAACATGTCTTTCATAAAAAAATACGCAGTCTAAGACTGCATGTGTCTACTGCAGTACTGGTATAGAAATGTAATATAAAAGAATTGAAGAAAAGAAAATAAGACTGAAATGAAAACGAAGAGGGAGGAGTGGAAATAGAATAAGGACAAAAAAGAAAACTTTGTAAAAAATGTGGTACAGAACACTGGTGAAAAGAGATTAAGCTGGTACCTTTTACCACAAACATTTTCTATGAAGAGAACTGTAACTTTATTCTAACATAAACAACATATTATATAATCTTACAAGGCGATTATAAATTTCTCCCCGAAAGAAATTTTCGCTCTCCCGAAAGAGATTATTCGCTCCCCGAAGGCAATTTTCAATCTCTCGAAAGAGATTTTTAGCACCCCGTAGGGAATATGACCCTTGAAAAGGGTTACACATGATCCAGCGACGACCAAACGGACATTGAACGCGTTGAATTGCAGAGGAAACTGAATGCGCATGGACATTGGCATCAAAATCCTTCGACTGAATGATTCTTTTGCTGGCATAAAATCGCCCCAAACCGTAAGAAAACCTAACAATCTCTTTAGAAATAAATACTTTGCAAATGCATAGAAAGCTGTGCTCGGTTATTGATGCGAAATAGGACGAAAACATTGTAGAAAATACAATTAGACTCACCTTCAACAGGAATAAAATTTAGCACATGGTAAAGACGTAGGGCTAACGTCGCAATCGATATAACGCCGTCCAGCACACGTGGCTGCCGAAGTATCTCGTAAGGACCTCGTAATCCGTCTCCTAAACGACAGTACGTAACCGACTGACTGATGATCGTACCTCGGCTTTTCGGAAATACAACCGCTTAGATCCCGGTCAGCCTCGGATTAGCGTCGGCTTTCGATCGGATTCCATTTGGGATTTCTGTGGCATCTACACTCTTACACTCTTTCACTCTATCACTCGACCCAATGACATAGTGTCTACGCTTCTCTAGAAGCCGTAGACACAAAAGACTCTATGATACAATACAGTCTTTAGGCTTTTATCATCTACTTCTCGATTCGCCTTCCCCTTCAAACCGAGGGAAACTTTTTCCAAGTTCATAGAAACCCCTGTGACAGGTTATAATTAACCTGCGATCAGGTTAGGTTAGGTTATAATGGACTACCAGTATACCATATTAGCATTTAGCAAACGGTTGTAAAACTTTCCAAAAGGCACAAGATGTTAATGTGATAAACCAACCTTATTGTATTAAGGGCTAAATATGTGGGTTATCAGCACTGTTGTTCTCCCCGGTTAATAATGGCAGTCTCTTTTACACGACAGACACTTTCGTGTTTCAGAAAGCAGCCAATAGAAACAACCGAAAAGTCACTAATATGGACTTCCGGTTTTCCCAGAAAATTTGGCTTTGTTTCTTAGAATCGACAAAACAATTACGGAACAGTTCAGACTTATTGTTAAAAAGAGACTTCTTTTCAAGTGAAACTGATGTTATTCGTGGCAGGGTTGGTGAAAACAATGAAAATTTTATAGTTGCAAAATTTGTAAAATCGGGCGTTAATAGTTACATGAGCTCAACTCAACAAAAAAAAAAAATTGCAAATACAACGCTCATTAGACAGGTCCGCAGGCACTAGCTAGTCTAGCTAATCCGGCTATGCGAAACAATCAGTCATACTCATTACAAAATACTCGAAGACAAACTTGTTAACAAATTATTGAAAAACTTGCGGAGCGGCTCAAGGCATCTCCGACCTCTTCGGGCGCTAGCAGGCACTTACCATTTACGTGGGAAAACCGGAAATTCGGGTTTGAAAATCAAATGGTCCCGGGGGTAAATCCCTTTGGAAGGCTTCAGAAAATATGGACTGTGATTTAAGGAGATGCAACCCCCCACCCCATTTTTTCTGTTCAGCTGATTTGAACATACTTTGAAGCGCGTATTTTTCCCACCAGTGACATATTTTATAGTTTTATGTTTATGCACAAGATTTCCACGCAGGTGATTTGTGTAAATTGTAAGTACCCCCGGGCTGCTAGGTTTCAGCTAGGCTAGCTGAAATCCTGATATAAAGATGGCGTAATACCAGGATAAAAGTTATCTCGGTAAAGTGAATCAGCCTCGCAAAACGAGCTGGCCCGGATCAAAATAAAGCCCATCAGTAAACTTCGCACACGCACCTACGAATCTCCTTAGCCAAGCAGGGGTGCGTGATCCATTTGCAATCGTTCATCCGTTTCAGAATGTTATCGAGAATGTCCCTTGGAAATCAAAACCAGATTTGTCATATTTTGAAGCTAGTATCGTCATCGATAGACCTGATAAATTTGATTAGTTGTCAAGTGCGAGAACTTGTCATTCTGCTTAATCCTGAACTTGAGGATGCATGAGGTAACACCAGACTCGTACCCAGTCGCTATTTATGTGTTTTGGGGTGAGAGAAGATTGGGGGTTAGGTTGACGCGCGCGGGGTGTCATGGAAAGGTACGAAGGGAAAATAGCGTCGCTATTTTTCCTTCGTCCCTTCCCATGAGTCTTAGGTAACACCGTTATTATTGCTATTTAGTGTACTTTACAGAATCACTCTCTTGCGCGTCATTTATATATAAGTTTTAATAAGTATTTTTGTTACCTGCCCTGAAAGAAAACATTCAGTGCATAGGTGAAGTTATCTGTAACTGGAGCACTGCTGCATTAGAGGCAACCTTCAAAACATGGCTATAACTTACTTCGATTTCTTGTCTCGTTTTGTTTTGCGGTTTGTTTGTTTGTTTTTTGTAAAAAAAAAAACGTCCTTGAAAATACCATTTTACTTCTTTATCAGCTCGTGTGAAACAGGCATGCCGTTTTGGATTTGAATGTTAGCGGAAGACAAACTGACGAGTAAACTTCGTAATTTTTCCTTTGTGCACTACATTACAAAGAATCGAGACGATTGGGATAGCCGGAACTGCCAATTCCTTGGAAAACACTTTCTAGGTTTTCTTAGGAAACTCTTTCCTGGAGGAAAGCAAAGCCGGATAGCATTTGTGCAGGCACGAAACCGTACGGGATAGGCCAGGGCTTCTGTTCACGTAAGAATGCCGGGTTGATTTCGGCGCGAATTCTGCGGTCACAGTACGATGCGACCCGCCCGATCTCTAAAGTGGGGAGTTACATATCAGGAAGGCGTTCATACTCTACCGGATAGCTTAGTATCCGTTTGAAGACTTTGTGCGGTGAAACACGTTATCCTGTTCACTTGATGTTGACTGCTCTCTTGTGACATTACAGTTTCCTTTATCTAGACTGAAGATAACCTATGGCCACTTCTGCTATTAACAAAAATCCTAAGCGAAAAGGAACCGACAAGAGAGCTTTTCTCAAACACCTACATGGTGGATTGAACCAGCCACTGGAGTCGACCGAAACCGATGAACCAGCGCCAATAAAACAAGAGGTAAACTGTGTTCTTAACCAAAGATTTACCGAGTGAAAACAGTCACACAAGGCCTCATGGGACAAGTAAGGACCTAGTGCGCATGACAGGCGCAAGTAGGACGCAGGGCTTGTGTAAGGTGTGGACTAGTAATTAATGCCTTTTGTTGTTTCAAGAACACATATAAGGATGGCCAATTAAGCAGTTAGCATAAACAGGAACAGGATACTCAGTTGTAATTTATTGGAACGTGCGGACCAAATTCTATTTAAAAATTACAATAAGCAGAAACTTACTTAAATTTTCCAAACATTCATCTCAAAGTAAATCATGTAGGGGTTTTCACCTGTTGTTAGAACAAAGCCCATGAAATATAAAGTGAGCTCCAGTTTGCAAAAGGGTGATGATCAGTATACTTTGAATTAAGTTGATAACCTTGCATGAAGGAAATTGAGTTATCCAAATTTATTATTCTGTAACTTGCATTTGACAATAAGCCTTTCAGTAGGAACTTTGAGTTCTACCTTTACCTGGGTGAGTCAAGACAACAATAAGACGACGTGGTCCTAAACGAAGTGCAGACTAACTTGATGTAACGACTGATGCCTCTTGCGTAATCAAAATAGAGCTTAATTCCCCCCTCCCACCCACCCACCTCCAAAAGTCCCTCTTACCTATGTAAAACTGTGTACCGACAATAACATCATTAATTTTTACATTTCTTCACCCATGTTCCAACGTGCCATAACTGACTGAAAACCCCTTACTTTAACATCTAAACTTTCTCAATTTTTTTGGAAGAGACAAATCTGCTTGGCTACTCAAGTATTTCGTTCATTACA